TACAAATACCTTCCGACGTTGTTAGCAACTATAGGGGTATTATAAAAAAATACGAATGGCCTGATAGACATAATGCAATGCATATTATTTTAGGCTGCAATTATCAATCTCTGTTTCTTTTTGGCTGAAGATCAAATAAAACTATTTGATAAAGAAGTTCTTTCGCTTTTGTGGTCAGTAGATTTTACTACTAAAGCCACAGAACAAGACACACTAAAATTGTTTAAATACAGGGTTAGTCACGAGAGAATTACTTCTGAAAATTATTTTTACGCAACCCAAAATACGAATACCATGTACCATTTGATACTAACTGAATTTAAAATGAAATGCTTACTTAATCCATGATTGCTTTGAGTTTGGCAGTCTCATTTTGACAATTGTGGAAAAGGAGGTTACGCGAGTGTCCGCAGCCAGTCGGAAATCTCCTCCGGCGCCGCTAATAAATTTGTCAGTGTGCCTCTTGATCTTTTGCAACCGATTAATCACGAGAAAATTATTTCTAAAAATTCCTTTTACGGCATTTTATTCAAAGGTTACAACACAAACTCAAACAAGTAAGTAAATAATTTAACTACTAATCTGTTGAAAATGTTGGGCATTTTGGGGGGATGCTACGGCTTTTTTGTAAATGGATGGCCGAAGAAGTCCAGAGGTTGCAGATTTGCACTTCGAAGAAGCTCTAGGTGACGCAGAGATGGCGAATTAACACATGCACATTAGCGGCGAACAACATTGGTAGAGCACTTACGGCTTCAGTATAGCCCAGATTGATCTGACTGTATGTCGTCGATCCAATGGGGCTCTAGAGGCGAGTCAACGATGAAAAAAAATGTTAAAAATTAATTAACGTCAAAGTGACACTGCCAAAGTCAAAGCAATCGTGGATTAGGCATTTCATTTTAAATTTAGATAATATCAAGTGGTACAGGGTATTAGTATTTTGGGTTGCGTAAAAATAATTTTCAGAAGTAATTCCACAGCATAGATAACAATCAGTAGGGACAGCTCGTGTCGGCGCCTTTGTTCTTTCTGACCCGAATTTTAAGCCGTCATGGATGGTCGTTGCCTAAACTATTCCTAGATGTCGCCACCCAATTTAAAAAGTATCACTTCATTTAAAATTTCAAAAATTGATTCGTGTACGCAATATTGCAAACTGTGTAGTTTGCTCAAATCGTATAATCATGAATCGCAATAAGAAAAAAAAAGTCGATATTTAAATTATAAACACGATGATTTGTTACAGTTTTTATTTTATTACTTATACAGTCATAAATGTTAATCCGGAAATGGTACACTTTGTAATAGACCGTAGGTAAAGGAGTATTTTATGAGGACTAAATATTTTTCGAGAATAGACTCTTTTAGTTATTAAAGAAAGTATCCATATTATTTATATATGTAGAAAGCTAAAAAAAAGTAGAGAAATAAACAGACAGGCATGATAATGTAATTATGGTAATTACTTTATACAAGAATAAATATAAAAATAAGAACAGCACCTGTTAAATTGTTTAATAATTTCAAAAATTTTACGAAAAAAACGCATTTTACCTAACAACTTAACCCGTAAGCGTAATATCATATAAAGTAAAATTTTTATTTAAAAAAAAATATTACAAAAAAAAATACATATTTGTCGACTCGCATAAAGTGCAGGTAATTGGTATGGGTCGACGCAGGTAAGAATAATTAAGGAATTCATGAAACCGGAAGTCCATAGGGATTAAGCGAAAAAAGATATTTGACAAAATGTACGGCTTGGGTCATTTTTACCCACGCGCGACTGCTTATGGGTTAAGCAACGTCTCAAAATAAAACTCAAGATTGTGTAGGTCAAAAAAATATATATATATACATGATGAATAAAAAAATTGTTTATTGAGTGAAGGTCTGCTTATATAATTTTTTGTTACGTGTAGTTTGTTTCTTATTACTTTTATATTTAATTTTACCACAACAACGGAATCATATATAATAAATTTTTTATATTTATTTCATAACCACCGTTGTTGTTCGTTTGCGACGACTTTTTAAACAAAAAGTGTGTTATGTTTACTATCTTTTCCAAGAATTCCAAACACGAGGGAGAGAATAAGGCAGGCGCACAACAGGGATCCTGTATGAAAATTCATCGGACGAAGATTTTACCTTTTATTGTGAAAATTACATTTTTATACTATTTGTACAATTCTACTGGAAAAGCAGTCTTAAACAAGCAAAACCGGCAAAAATATTGTAACAAAACTGCCAAATTTCAAATATTTTAGAAGTCAGTTGGGCGCCCTCATTCGGTCATAAAGCGAACGACCACCCACGAAAACGGGTCACGAAAAACGGCGAGCCGTCCCTACTGATTGTTATCTCTACTGTGGTAATTCTCTCGTGACTAACCCTGTATGTGACATACGTTGCGAAACTTAATTGCTTGTTAGGAGTGATCTCAGGTTTCGTAATGATTCCCATTGGTAAAGAACGAGAATTTGACTTTGCTCTTTTTCTCTTTCAAAATTATTTCACTTCATTCCACTACATTTTCGACTTGGCTTATTTTTTAACATTTCCGGTAATTTCTTATTTGTTGGTTACTGTAGCAAATTTTTTTGCTTACTACACTTGCCATGCTAAAAGTCAGATGCATCTGCTTTCTGATGTTGTCTCACACATGACAGATGAGTTTATAGATTATGAAGATGCGACGCTTTTCTACAATGAAGAATACCAAGAAATTGTGCGACAAAGAGAAATACTTATAGTTAAGCGACATGTTCAACTTAGGAGGTTAGTTGTTGTTTTCTATAATAATTGTACCTATATAAAATACTGATGACGAACTGCGATGCTTTATTTTAAGATTTTGAAGTTAGCCAATGATTTGACAACTAAACTATTACCCTTTGGATGTTTGGCTTACCTTGCAATGGCTCTTAGCGCTCTAAGTTCTGCATATTTAATTGTATGTATTATAGTCTGATGCTGAGATTAATTTAAATATTCATATTATTTTACGGCAGGAAGCTGACTCTGTAAACTGGAAATATTTTCAGCAAATGATGATGGTAACAACTTCAACAGTGACAGGAGTTTTACTCGTTCAGTGTGGACAACAAACAGAGAACGAGGTTTGTAAAAAAAATTAAAGTAAATCACTTACATTTACGGAGTGCATGATTTAGTTACATAGTTGTAGTATCAGTATCACACTTGCTAACTTATGTGAGCAAGGAATTTAATATTCAAAATTTGGTCCATTTATGTAAATTAATTATAACTAATTAGTCTATAGGTAAATAAAGTTTGTATGCTATAGGTATTATTATCATATTTCACATTCATATGTTAATTAAGTATTTAACTTTCAGGCTGAATCGATACTATCTACTTTTGTGAACATTCGATGGATAACTTTTAGTGATCGAAATAAAAAGATAGCAATGACAGCATTAACAGTTGCCCAAAATACTCCTAAAATTAAATTTACCGATTCTGTGGCACTTAATTACGAACTAGGTATAAGAGTGAGTAACTTATTGTAGTTAACAGTTTCATATATTATATGTAATTGTGTTATAGGTTGTGAAAAATATTTATTCTTTTGCTGCAATATTCGCGAATGTACAACATTTTAATTCATAAAATATACTTACGTAAGGCGTAAAAAATAATATTCCGCACAATGTTCTAGATTTAAATTGAATTACATAGTTGTAACATTTTATGCAATACATGTAATTGTGATAAATAATAATTACAACATCAAACGTTGAAAATAAAAAAAAATACAATTTTACGGCAAAGCTAGAGTATAATTTTTATTTATATTTTAACCTTATTCATTTGACAATGCGAAATATTGAATGTGACCAATCAACAAAAAATGATCGAAGGTTATTTCGACAGAACTTGTCTCGCCCTTGAAGTAACCACAATTAAACATATCCTAACTTTTCTAAAAATTTGATTTTGCGAATTCCATTTTTTTGATGAGAATTCGTATAAAAATAAATAAAAACAGTATTGTATTCTCAAACTTTCAGTTTGCAATGTATTTGTCCATGAAGTCGAGTTGCGTAGATAGTAAAGTAGCGTCCCAATTTTATCTGAGGACACAATACTGGCGAAACATGAGGATTTATTTATATATTTATAAATTTTAAAATAGTTAACTCGTTAATAGTTTCTACAAATTTATGTTGCTCAAATTTTAAAAATTTAATTTACATATTTGGACGTCAAGAAAATTCTTACTTCCCGAGCGTAAGCAAAGGAAGCACTGTAATCGAGTCCGTTGACAGACTCTCTACTTTTACTTTTTCTGGATCTTTCATCACCCCTAGAATACGATAAAATTGCTCTCCCGTTTCCGTCTGTCTGTCCGTCTATCTGTCTGTCCGTCTCTCTGCCGTCTGCCCGGATTTGTTTTAACTGTGAATTGTTGGTTGTTTAACTTGAGAGTCTTTTCCTCATGCGTCTTAACATGGGGGCTCGGGCCTGTGTTTAAAATTTGGCGAGTAATTTAAAATAAAAATCCCCCACATCTTAGCATGCTAACGCAGACCCCTCCATGTAAATTGGTTGGTTGAGGCCCTGACCCCCCTGTGTTATCTCCATACGACTTAACATGGCGGGTGCGGGCCCCCAGTAATTTAAAATAAAATTTCCCTACGTCTTATGATGGAACCCAGGGGGCTCGGAGCTCTGGGCTCCTAACCCAAAATGTCTTAAGATGGGAGCGCACGTTCCTGGGGACGGGTCCCATAAATCTAACCCCACTTTTCATTCAAAATTATTATCGTAAAATAGTAGTAACATAAACAAAAAAATTGAAATAATTATTTATTTATAAATTTAATTTATAATACATTTGAAAAAATACAAGTGCTTATCTATTATAAACAAATCTTAAATCTAGTTGACATATAAAATATAAAATCAAAAAATAAACAATAGCGAACAAAACTAACATTAACTAATAAATATATTTAATATAACTCATTTTAAAAAATACAAAATATATATAAAAGCGAAACTATAATAGAAACAAAAAAAATTAATAAACATAATTAAGATAACTATTAATCGTCTTCACAATCAACTTCCATACTTCTTCTTTTTCTTGTAAACTGGGAATTTTATAATGTCCCCACGGAAAAGTCACTATTTTATGACTATAAACGAACCGTATATATCGTCGAACGGAGAAAGAGAGTATTTGTTTATGTTAACTGAAATCTTCATCATCATCGAAAAAAGAAGCAGTCACTTTAAATTGATTCAATTATTCGAACAGATGGGACATGTAACTGTTTGCTGAAAATTTTCGATTTCCTCATCCGTTAAGTGGGACATAGGTTTCTGACAACTATCGAAAAGAGATTCTAAATCCAAGCATTCTGCACGCATTTGACTAACAAACCGAGCAGCAGAAGTAAGATCATTTTCGTTTAACGCTCTGTATAATTTAAAAGAATTTAGTAAACTATCGAAATACCAAATAACTGTACACGCTCCGCTATAAGGAATATGTTTTTGATAAATTTCAGTAAACGAATTCAATTTTGACGGTTGGTACGATGATACTTTTTTTGTTAAACATTCAAAATCGACATAAATAACGAAAGGTTGTTTTACTTAGTAAAGCTTTGAAATTTGTAAAACAAATATAGGATTCTTCTTCTTCTGGTATGGCAATCTTTACAGTTTTGAATAAGTTACAGTCCTCGATATAAGTTTCGTATTTAGATTTTGAACCAAAATAATTTAAACATCTAGAGCAAATAAAACAAGTATTATGAGAATTCGGATGAACAGATTCTAACCAAATCGGTAATTAAACAATAATGTGCTCGAAATTTGTTAAATAAATAAAGTAAATAGATGTGATTTTGTTTGACTTCTTTGGTGTGGTGAAGCGGATCGATAATTTTTTAGTCTTTAGAACTATAACCGAATACTGTTATTAAGATCGAAGACTTGTTGCGTTCAAATTTAGTAAATTTCTGATAATTTCACAGGCATCAAAAGCGAATTAAGGTTTAAAATTTCCTCTACATTTTGAGAATAGCTCGAACTTAGTTCGCTGAGAGTATTTACTTTATAAGGAGCAGCTAGTACAGACCATATAAAACATTTTTTATCTTGATTAACGATATTCAATATACCACCTTTCTATCTGCGTTCCTTCGACAAAGAGATGAAGCTACCGGCCGACAATGGAGCGAATTTGTTGATGTTGACTTAAAGACTGACGACGCTGTCCAGTATCCATCCGCTTCCATTCGATTCGAATTCCTCCAACTACAACAACAACAATTAACACGAATTAATAAATATGTAAAAACATTTTGATTTATACTCACATTTTGTAGTAACTTGCTCTTATTCTCGCTTAGAATCTCTTCAACCCTTTCTTTCATGTAGGAGACCAAAAGTGTTTTATTGCCACAGATGAAACTCCTATCGCTCAAGATCTCAGCTTCAGGCTTCTCCTTTTTGCTCGAAGACGGAACGTTAGTTGCAAGTTTTTTTAAATTTAAAATTCAATTCCAAATTAAATTTTAACGCTTTGAAATTTTCCAAATATGACTCTAATTTTTTGTGAACCATTTCCAAAGCCGTATCTAAAAACTTTCCTGCGTCATACGAAAAATTGACGATGGCTGCTGTTACTATTCGCGATTTGAATGCCGATGCTATCTAGAAAAATTCTCTTATAAATTTTATGAATCGAATAAAAAAATTTTACCTCAATCCATTCCAGTGACTAATCTTCTTCTTCGTTTTCTTCTTCTTGTTGTTTCGGTGAAGATGGTATTTGCGAAGACAACCCTCGTCCGGTTTTTTCCATTTTTCTCTTTTCTTCGATATTTCTATTTTCATCTCGTAACAATTCGTTGCTCCATTTCCTTATCGTTATTAAATTTAACATCTGTAACTTACTGAATTTTTGTGGATCATGGCGCAAATATTTAAAATATTTCTCTCTCTCATTCGCAATATCTTCGGTGATGATGATGATGATGATGATGATGATGATGATGTCCTTAGTAGCAGTAGCAGTAATAGTAGTAGTAGTAGGAGTCGTAGTAGTAGTAGTAGTAGTAGTAGTGGTAGCAGTATTAGAAGTAGTAGTATTAGAAGATGATGAAAACATTATTAATTATTGTTTCTGGAGCGTTTCATCATGATCAATCTTCTCGAATTCAAAGATGTTGGCTGGCAACAGTTTACCAGATATAACCTTTTTCCCCTGGTACATGAGATGCGAACCTTGCCCATCGAGCAAATAAGTTATAATGTCATCGTCCAAGTCCTTTTCTAGCCTTCTAGGAAGGAAAATATCACCTTTCCCCTCGAGCCTGCACACCACACAAGGGCCGAATCTGGTAGAAATTTTTTTGATTTGTAAAATTTTATATTTCGCGCCGACTGTCAACTCTTCAACTTTCACAATAGGAGGAAAGGTGCACGAGGCAAGTTCATTCAAAGAATTCAACGTGTTATTCATCACGAAAAAAGTTTTAATAAGAAAAACTTTTGAAGGAGCACAACGATCGATAACACTCGCGAATGCGGAATAAAACTTAATTAATTTAATTTTATACAGAACAGAGTTGGAGGGGAGTAGTTGAAAATTAACGAATAAGAAGAGGGAGAAAGAAGAGCTTTAGGAGGAGGTGAGGAATTCATGTCAAAAACCTCTTGTTTCGTTTCGTTTTTGAATATGATCTTATCGACTAATTTAAACAGAGGTGTTGCAACACATAACTCACACCAATTCTGTTCATTTCTCAGATGCTCTGGAAAGTCTCCAATTTGGATCGTAAAATGTTGTTTCTTCAGTTAATATTCCCAGGAAAAAAATTTTCAAATATTTTCAAATATAAGTCTTTACAATTTTTACAAATAAAAAGTTTAACATGTAAGGTTGCACTAATAGTTAATTCGATTTTTTTTTACAATTAACACCCCAATAATTTTCCCACAGTATTAATTTATAAAAATTTTCGCAACAAATTTTTTGTTCAAACTCCTATTTCTCTAAATTCACATTACACTGCCGATATTTACACAGAAAATCTTTATACCCACACTGTGAATTATCAACTGCTTTATAAATTTCACTAAATTTTACACGCGAAAACTGAATAAGCAAATTGTAAACAATTTCAGAAACATTAATTATTGGGCTTCCGAAAGGAAATGATTTAACAACTGCGTAGAGTGAGAGTTTTTCTAACGAAGTCATTAAAACTGTATTCATGATTTTTTAGTAGTGAAGGATAGCGAAATTATTAGATGTATAACAAGGATCTAATGCGATTTTTGCACTAGGAACAGAATTTTTAAATTAACTAAAACTGTGGAAATAAAACCAAGATAAAAATGAACGTGTTTTATTTTAATTACATTTTGTGGTGAATATGGTTAATCGATAACTGAAAAAATAACTTTTATCTTATGTGGTTATGATATCACCTTCAACGAATTCGTTCACTTCCTCTTCGTAATCCTCTAAATAATACAGAGCATTATTTTCGTTATTGATAACAGTGAGACGGGAAATTAAATTTTTAAGTTGAAATAAAATATTTTCTCGGGGACATTCGATCCCGAAAATAGATAAATCTTTCGGAGCTGCTCGAATGACTATTTTAGAGAATTCATTATATTCGAAATAATTCTATTCTATTAAAAAAATACATGAGACCGTTGTTGAAGCGCAACACGCCTGAAAGTTTATTAGTAGGAACGCCGGGATATCGATCCGAGATCAACCCGATGCTTTTAATTTTTTTCGTGCAAGGATCGATATTTACTAATTTATTATGAACGAAAAATAAAATTACTTTAATAAACTGGGACTGGGCATTTACCCCCTAGCTAAGTACTTTTAATACAGCAAAAAAAACATTTAAAACTGATAGATAAATCAGTGGAAATCAAAGAAATCTTTCACCGAAAATAAAGAAAAATCTAAAACTAAACGAATGCACTTAAATCTAGGCTAACCTATAAAATTAAAACATGTAAAAAAGAGATAAGTAACTTTTACTTTATTTAATTCGCTAAATACGTCGGGCGCCAACACCTGTTCACGAGAAACATTAAATTCGCATAAAATCCGGAGTTAACGAAAACTATGACAAAATAATGAGAAAACGGGATCATACTGAACGGTAATAAATTCAAAATAAAATTATCAATTGCAAAGAAATTAGATTTTTTCAAAATTCAGCCAAAAATTGTAGGAAACTCTGTCTGCAAACGAACAGCGTGGCCGACAGCAACTTGGAACTTGAATAAAAATCTCTTCCTGCGCTACTGCTTTTATAGGGATTTTTACCCATTCATTTTGTCTCCCGCGACGTTAGTGAGCCATAATTCTCTTTAATTTATGTGTTACATGGAAAGCGACTTTAGGTCTTGTAGTAGGGTTTCGTTTCTGACGAGTTCATGTGGCTTCTATGTCGTAAATTGTCGTTTTTTCCAACTTGCATCATGGTTCCCATGTCGACATCGCTACCTTGCGTCAGCCTGTTGCATCTGTTTGTAAGGGGGGCGTTCTTTAATTTGTTTTTTATGCGTCTGCGTTTCGCCTGCTGCTGTTTTAGTTTGGGTACGAATTCGGATGAAAGTAATTGCGATTGGCGATTTTTATGGTGGAGGGTTCTGCGTATGTTATTCGCAATGTCTGACAAGCGTAATGATATTTGCAATTTGTGAATATGCGAATTTTGTTTTTACGTTCGCGGATTGGTTGTGGAGTTTGATTATCTGTTTGAATGGTACTATGTGCAGATTAGGACATGCATGTTAAATAATTAAGATTTGCAAATTTGCGAATTTTGTTGTTATGTTCTGGAGATTTGTTATTCGTCTTTTTGTTACGATTTTCTCGTGAACGAATTTAGTGACGACTCGTCACACACTCTTCATTGTTATCCACTTCAGATCGCTAGAAATGACTAAATCTAGTATTTTTATTTTTTGAGGTAATTCTGGACATCATTTTTCGGATTTAAAATCGACTTAGAACGTCAAGCCGAATGAATAATTCTCCATAAAAAATTAGTAATTATAGTCTAAATAAATTAATCTAATTTATCTACAAACTCAAATTCTGAGGCATCCGAATCTGTCTCAGCCAAATTTATAACCACGATAATGTGGAAATATAAAAAAAAAACAAATTAAAAGTCGAATGGGACAACACCCCCATGAACCACCCTCGATGCGATGCCACTGATCCACCTTTTAAAGAATAGGTGCAAGTCGGCGAGTGTTGATGTCGGGCTCTTCTTCGACGCGTTCCAAAATCTGTTTTTCAGCTTGCAGTTCACCATGATCTCGGAGATGCTGTACGAGTGATGTAAATGTTCATGCACACGCAAGCGCGCTTTCGAAAGCGCTCGATCCACAACTCGCGGGCCAACCTGGCGTTTCCAGCAGCCCCACCATAAAGCATTACCATGCCGACACGCCCTAAGTTGAAAAAAATTCACACGACCGCGACCAACTGATATATGACTTTATCGTCTTTTTACACGTCACTTATCAGTGCGCCGCTTTTTGGATCTTAATCCTAATCATTCTGTGCCATTCATTGTGGTAGTTACGTAGGTCAAGAAACACCACCAGTATTGTATAACAATTTATTTTTAATTTCAAATAATTTTTTCTAGACATTTCAACCACTTAGGAATGTGAACTTTACTTTAAATCTTATTGTGAGCTATTCCCCATTTTTTTTTATTGCACACGTACACATTTCGAAATCATGGTGTATTATTTCAACACGTTCAAGACTTTTACACTCAAGTGGGAATCATTAGCGTCTTGAACTTGTTAAAAAAATTAGATATCCATTTAATGCTCATTTGCTTAATGAACGTCTTTCTTGTATTGCTTTACTAAATGTTACTTTTACTTATACGTGGTGAGTGATTCATTCCCATGTTGTTCAGATCTATTATTAATAAAATACATTATTTACAAGGACTTTCGTTTTTGACAAAACCCTCTGAGTTCATAGTTTACTTTATAAGTTAAACCAGTACGTAGTGTTTTCTCATAAGGTGATTCTCTAATAGTGCTATTAACAGCATACGTATACATCATATACATATATAATATCAAATAATGGACTATTTTAATATCAAACCCCTGAAAGGTAGGAAATTTAAATTCTTATTGTTATTATTTTTTTTTTTGGAAGGTGTTAATATGTTTTTGAGGTATGTAGGAACTTTCTTACACATCACGGTAATAAACCTTTTTTCACACAGTCATATCCTTTTTGTACAATCTGTGACGCAATATTTTTCGATGATAACACAAATTACACGATCAAATATTAAAAATTGTATGACACAAAAAATACATGCGTGGTAGTGGTAATTAAGTACATTAACATTTCAATTAAAAAATAAAGAACTATATCCACCCAATCATAAATGAATTAGCGTTAGAATAGGAATTGTGAATTAACACAAAGTTCTTTTTTAAAAATAAAGTATTTAAACCAAAATACTTAACTGGCGCAGTCGTAGGTACGGATCATGTTAATAAACAAAAATCGTTGGAGACCGATTCCGAAAAAAGAACCGCACTGCAGAATCTATACTTATATAATAAAGCTGAAGCTGTTGTTTATTTGAACACGCTAATCTCAGAAACTACTGGTTCAAATTCAAAAAATCTTTTTGTGTTGGATAGTCCATGTATCATATCTACATATAGGCTATATAAAATCACGCTACGATCATTAGGAGCGAAGTAGCAATGAAAAATTCGGAAAAACGGGAAAATTATTCCTCCTTTGACAGCTTCCGTTGCTTACGCTGCTTAAACGGTTAAAGTTACGTAAAAATCATGTATAACGAAATTGTTCCCCTCTAAAAGTTCTAAAGAAAAGTCCGCGACAGCATATGTCTATCTTTTAAGGTCGAGTCAGTATAACCTTTTTTATGGTAATGAAATTTGTTCTAAAATAATAATGCATTATGTATAAAATTCTCGCGTCACAATGTTTGTAACCGAACTTCTCCGAAATGGGTAGACCGATTTGTATGAAATTTTTTATGTCTATTCGGTAGGTCTGACAATAGGTTGTAAACTATTTTTTAAACCCCTAAGTGATAACGGTGGCCCACCCTAAAAAATTTTTGTCTATTTTTTTGACAAATTTTTTTATTTTTATTTTTTTAAGATTTGACATCAAAAAATACACACAACCCTAAATTTTCACCTTTCTACCACCAACCCCCATTTATTAATCATCTATAAAATAAAAATCCATTGCTGTTCCTATTAGTCACGCTAAGACTCAAAAACGGCTTGACCGATTTGAAACATTTTTTATATTACGGGGATGCTTTATAAATAAAAAAAATAAGGATAACTTAAAAGAACAGTAAAAAATTAAAAAATTCTAAACATTTTGTATGGGAATCGTCACTTCGAATTACTGTCAATAGTTGGCGTCTCTGACGGACCTGTCGTCTAACTGACGTGTCATACAAAACTAATTCTTCCGTGTGATTGTGAAAAGTACATATATTGCATTTGAAATCGTTCTTTGTTTTTTCGTAAAAAAAAAACGTCGTTTATTTTAAGAAAAGTCTTGGTTAAATTTAATTACATATTGCGAAAGTTTCTTAAGTTCATTAAAATGCCGAGAAGACGAGAACCTCACATAGGTCCACGAATCAAATGTGCGACGAACTACCTCAGGTGCAAACCGCATTGATTTATTTCATGGGTAATTCGGATATGGAAGTTGATTAGCGTTATGCTCATAATCAACATAATCAAACATTGAAGCGAG